CAATTAAAAAAAGAACAAACATTAACAGCAGGGTAGGCTACGCATGTAATCGTCTGCCAGATTCAATAGTCTTTTTTCCAGACATGTTTCCTAACCTTCAGAAACATTGACATTTAAAAATCGATGTTCTTTGTCAAAGGCAATCTGTATAGAAACGATTGCGAGCCAAGCTGCTGTACCACTACCAACACATCCAGCTCGCCGTGTTCAATTTACATAAAACACCCAACTCACATTTGCACAACTGAGAGAAACAAACTAGTTAATAAGAACCCATTTGTTTTCAAAGGAAACATCTACAAAGAAACAAATATACAGTTTATATGCAACACAACAGAAGCTTTGGTCTTTGGCCTTTCTTCCTTCAGATCAAAAGCCTTTAACCTTTGTAGATGAAAGGTCTCGGCGACCAGTCCCTCACTCCTATTGCTGCCTGTTTTGTGGGCAGGAGGCATTGAAAATGACTTGATAAGGGAGTTTTTTTCTACATTATAAGCCTAGAAATTCAAAAGACATTTGAACCTGACAAAGTAATCGTTAAAACTCTGTTAGTGATCGACAGTCTGCCCAACCCCTGCAGACATATAATGGTGGCTTTGGGCTATGGGGAACTGAACTCCTTCCTTATTGCCTTTTTAATGTGATCATATTCATGCTGCATTTCTAAACTCTCCGGATCCAGGTAGGAAGCCTGCCTGCAGCTGCTGCTGCTCCACTTCTCTGCTAACACACACTTTGAGCCACACCAGGTGCATTACCATATCTGCATGCGCAATCAATCAACTTCTTTGCGGCGTCCCAGAGTTAAATGTGTTATTAATGAACTAACTTTTGCAGGACGCTGTGTTAGAGACAGAGACATACTGTATGCACCGTTTCAAGGAGTTCTACTGTGTCACACAGTACAGCTTCTCAGGCATTTAACTCATTATGATTAGTCACGACTTAAACAACTTTACAGTTCTTCTTCTACCACTGACTCATTTGTAATCTTCCTCGGAGCTCTGGTTTCAGTTCCTAAACAGCAAACTATATTTGTCTGTATTTTATTCAAAGAGAACAGAAGCCAAGAGAGCAAAAACTGTCTTTACTGTGGATTAAACAATGAACAATGAAATAGTTTCTGTTGCACATAAGACTTCACAAAGAGTCTTTGTGGCCATTAGTTGTCTAATATTCTTGTCATTGACTAAAATGTTTCTTTTCATTTTGTGAACCATTATGGTTCATAGAGCTTTTTGGAACATTTAAAACTACACAGATGGAAAAGAAGCAAGAGCAAAGGCAAACGTTTGTCAAAGGCAAAACCACAATGGCAAATATTACTACTAGCTAACTCAACTCAGCTTTTTATGACCAAAATGTAATGGGCTTTCTTCTGTCCATCCGAGTCAAATCATCTGTTATAAATCCAAACACTACCTCAAAATATGATATTATATTTATAATTTCTAGTGCTAACCTTATTTTGGACATTTGTACTTACTGTAAAGTGAATATGCTGCAACTGTCACAGAACCTAATATCCCCCTGGGTTACACTTGTAGGTTTTTTTGATTCACTTTTTTAAAGTAAACTGAGGGTACAACTTGTAAGGTTTTCTAAATAAAAGGTTCAATGCAAACAATTTATAGATACCAAACCTCAATTTTGGAACAATTTGAAAAGCTATACCGTTTCCATAGAAAAAACATTACTGCGAGGAAAACCAAGTCCTGACAAGAAAGAATACACAAAAATCTTCATATCGTTAGTACACAAACCTCTTGAAACGTCGCCGTCTACACGTTTTTTTTGTCTACGGAACTCCTTTCTAGCCGACGCTTTTCCTTTTAGAATTTCAAGACGGAAATACAACAGAACAAAACTTTGATGATAAAAAAGAAGCGCAAGAAACAATCTTCAGTTACTTTGAGAAGTGAACAAACACCATGTAGAGAACGACAAATGACTTTATTGTTTCACAAAGAGTCGCTGGAAAAGGTCTAACAGTAAAATAAAAACTTAGTTCGACGGAAAATAATCTTTTCACACCATTTTTAACCCCAAGCGTTATTTCGCCATTTTTTGTATTCGACTGAATCTAACGGTACACACCTTCTCATAAAAAAGGACTTATTCCGAGGTCGTTTTAAATTAAAGGTCTACATACGTATGAAAATAATTAAATAACGAAAAAGGTTCTGAAATTAGGGAATGGTTTTTTTTTGTCGAACTGTCGCTATCAAATTGACATGTTAACGAACAAACGTTACCACGTGGGTTTTATAACGGGTCACATCGTCCCGTCCCCAATTATAATATGTAACATCAATTCGAACATTCAGTTTGAGTGTGAGAAAACCAATACGAGCAGTGCACTGGCCGCGCTTTGAGACGTTCTTACTCTTAATATCCCCCCCCATGAACCTGTTTTCCCCGGACACGCCCCTCACAGTTCTGTTCTAGTAACACATTGTGGTCACCCTTTATCCAAATCCAGAGTAAACTGTTCAAGTAAAGGGGGGGGTTTCGAGTCTGCAACGAAGGTCCCTTAAATTTTGTACTCGGTTTCAATACTAAAACTGGGTTAAAGCCACCCCGGCCCCAGCACTTTTGAAGGTCTGACAAGGCGGGAGGACCGAAAGTCCTTGGATTGATTTTTAATTCGGTGATAAGTATTGATGAGTTGGTTTTTTTTTTTTTTTGTGCGAACATGTAATGTGTGGAGTATTGACTCGTACAAAGGAACAATTTTCACCTCGACTGAGTAACGAGATTGTAAACTTTATTATATCACATCCGTGGTATGGAATGATATTCCGGATAAATATAGAAAAATAAAAAAAGTTTATGGGTTGTGTCTAGTACGGTTCAAAAATCGGTAAGGAGTCACAAACGAGTTAACATTGTGACAGAAGACGTACCCAGACTTAAGTACAGCATCTCTTGTCGTTGGGTAAGATGGTCCGCGGACCGTATACATGATGTCGCAAGAGAGTCGCACAAAGTTACCAAGGCACCGACAGAGGGTAGTGACTTAGGACCACCACCTCAGACCCGGGGTATCGGCAATGCGCGATGAAGACACCTGGCAGTGTCCTTCAACAAAGTTTAGACCAGTCCAGGACATAGCATAGGCAACGTCGGGGAGAAAAATTCCTCAAAGACCCATTAGCCTCCTTTGTTATAACTCCGCAAACACCAAAAAGACTGTGAACCTACTCCAAAGAGGGGAACCTGTGGCACACCTGGTGTGTCAAATACAATATTTTCTGCATGTTTCTCACGTAAAAACGTACTATCCAGTGGAAATTTAATTTCTGGTAAATGTGTGGATTCCTGTAGAATTGAAAAAAAGGTTTATAATAGA